CTGGCGTGCCTGGGCCGAGGGACCAGGACCTCCGTACTCTGGCGTGTCTCTGGCTCGGTTTGTCATTCTTATGCGACTTGCTAAATCCTCTCCCTCAAGCCAGTCTGTACCCCGAATTGTGCGCGACTCCGGCATGCTTGCCTTCTGATTCCTTTCTGTTCGAACCCTTTGATTCTTCACGACAAATTCGATCTCGTCTATAGACTTTCCTCGATCAAGCGAGCGTGTCACGATTGGTGTTGAGACTGTTGCTGTTTCAACCTCAAAGGCCGCAAAAAACTTCTGAGACTCCACGGACCGGATTCCAATCTTCCATAATCACAGGCCGAGTAAGTACCATGATGACTGATTGCTACACTTTCCGACAACCAACGAGGCGATTTCCCCTGTAACGAGCTCCGTCGCAATTTGCTGGTCTACGGAAACTCGAGAGTGGAGCTCCAGAGTGTTCCATCCTCCGTCCAGACGACCCCATCCACAGAGTGCCCCCATCCCCCCATTCACCCAAGCAATTGTCGGAAGTGTCTCACGCGGCCGATGCTCGCTCAATCCTATTGTCGAATTTCTCAGATCATTCACCATTTGCACTTACTTTGCTAATATGTTAGCTAACATAATTTTCTTGTTTCATCAATTAGATCGCGCGAGTTCCGTTGACAGCTGCGTCATTGCTCTGAAACCGACGTACACGATTTTCGTTGGCCACTACTTCATCCGGAACTTCCACTTTGCGATGCGCATCTGTTCGCTACTCGGTACCGCGTAAGTGTGGCCTCAGGCGGCAGTACCGCTATCGATCCACGGTTGGCCAACGGTGTTCATATCTTCTTGGCATTTTTGATTCGCCTCCATTTTCTTAACCCATACACTCGTTTGCGCGTCCGCGCTTTGAAGCTGGAGCTAGACTCTGCAGACAACCGTACGCACTCGGAGGGCAATCGGAGACATCGGCTGGCCGCATCATTGCGAAATTGTAAAAGCATCTGTTTCGGTTGAGTGGTATACAGGCGATTGCTTCTTTGTGTGATACACTTCAAGACTCGCGACCTTCCACGAAAGGCAACTCCCCGCATCATTTTTCTGAGATTGCGGATCATAAATGAACCAACCCAGACGGCCGGGAGCGCCGCCTATCGCTCCCGCCGATGGGTCCAATGATGGCGGACAGATCAAGAAGGGATCGATCAAGGCGGCCAGGGAACGACTGCAGGCAATGATGGAGGGTGGAGAGGGTATCAGGCGAGAACCACCCCCCAGAATACCTCCCCCAAGACCCACTGGACCTGGCCAACGAGGGCCATTTCAAGGTGCCGCTTCTACTTCGCAACCACCTGGCAGTCCTCAATGGCCGTTGACGAATGACTTCCTCGAAGATTCTCCGATGGGCAGTCCTCAGAGAGCGCAGGCACCCCAAAGACCGCCGAGACCTTCCTACGTACCATCGATACTCGATCCTACCAAACCACGCGACTTCAATGACTATGAGGATGAAGACATCCTGCCACGGCAGATACCATCGCCGCCACCACCTCGACAACCTCCGAAATCACCATTACGGCAACAAGTGTCTCGGGCAAGCGCGCAGACAGCCTCCACGTTGGATCCTCATCGCGCTTATTGGGAAGATGACTTCGCTTCGCCAATATCTACTTCCATGTCGCCAAATACCTCAAGACCCGTTACTACATCCTCTCAATCAACGACATCATCACTAGGTACAATACCTGACTTTCCTCAAGCTCCAGCCGTACCTCCTGTACCTCAGCAACCACCTCCGGCACAGCCACCACCGAGGCGCAGTCCTGCTCTTGGACCACCCCCATCCGCCAGGAGAGGTCCTCACTCGTACTATTCACTTACCTCATATGTCTCGCCTATCGTCGAGGAAACGGAAACAAAGTCAAGGAGCTCGTATGCATCAAGTACGGCGATGCCCAGCAGCGCTGCGCAGGATTTCTACATCGAAGAAGGTTCTGAGAGTCAGTCAGACGTGGACGGTCCTTATACAGGCGACGAACGGAGACAAATTAGAATTGGTAATGCAGATGCACAAGCTGGGCTCGTTAGACAAGCAAGTTTGGGAAAGCGTGGTCGGCCAGCTTTAACAACAATCAAAAGTGCAGATAATCTTCGCAGCGACCGAGACCTCCTTCCCAGCCAACGATCGCCGAGTCTCACGCCAAAAGAGTCGAGATTCCCAAAGCCACGTGCTGCCGAATATAGCACTGCAGCAACACTGGGCGCCGCTGCTGCCAGTCTCGATGCGCCCACTTCGGTTGGAAAACGGGCGCAGGGCTCCCTTCCACCGAGTCAAGGGGGTACGGCTTCTGTCACACCTACAAGCGATCTACTCAGCACCGGCACTGGTTTCATTGATGGCGAATCTTCTGCATCTGATGACGAGAGGAGCAATCAATTGGAACGGGAATTGACAACACGTGATACAGGAAGACCAGATTCCTCCACGGAACCTAACTGGGCGGATGAGAAGATGCTAGCCGACCAACGTTCAACGAATGGATTTGAAGGGCAGAAGTCTCCAGTTTCACCAATTGACCCTCGGGTCGCAAAGATACTTGGTGGACTAGAAAGAGGTGGTGCACTAGATCCAGACCTCAGAGAGCAGCTCACATCACCAAAACCGCAAGGCAATCTAGGAGATCGAGTTGGAGCCAAGAGACCGCCACGATTGAACGTTGATGCCGTGAAGGAAGCAGAGTCGCGAGGGAGTCTCTCCAGTTTACCAGAGCTGATTCGTAGAGCCACCAGGCTTGCTTCGAATCTTGAACGGGGCAAGACGGCCAGTCGTCTTGGTATGGATTTTTGGGAAATGGGAAATGCTGACAAAGGGCGTAACACACCACCATCCGGCAGGAATCGAAGGTCAGGAAGCTCTTTGACAGACATGCTGTCTGCATTTCCTCCGCCAGGACTCGCAACCCCCCCGCTTGGAAGCGCCAGGAGTCCCAACAACCCCTTTCGTTCTCCTTCGAACTTGAATATCAGCCAAACGGCAGAGGATCAAGAGGAGACCCCTTCTCAGCAGAAACGGCGGAGAAGATGTTGTGGTATGCCGCTTTGGGTCTTCATCTTAATTATGATAGCTCTGGTACTGCTTGTGGCTGCCGCGATTATTGTACCTATTGCTCTCATCGTCCTGCCTAAGCAGAACAACAGTGGAAAACCAGCCCCAGGTTCGATTCAGGCGTGCCAACAGCAGCTGACGTGTCAGAACGGTGGCACGAACGTCGTCTCATCTGGAACATGCAGATGTCTCTGCGTGAATGGCTTTACTGGCAATCAATGCCAGACACAGTCGCAAGACCCGAGCTGCACAAGCAGCGGCGTCCCTGGTGCAGCTTCCAATGCTACCATAGGTTCCGCAATCCCGCGACTGATATCTGCCGCCAACACAAACTTCAGTATCCCTCTCGACTCCCAACAAATCCTTCCCCTCTTCACGGCCAACGACTTCAGCTGCTCTTCCGAAAATGCCCTGGTCACCTTCAACGGCCAGTCTCAGAAGCGATCGCTTGAGACGGACATCGATCAAGAGCCGGTTCTTGAGATCTTCCCTTCGACAACCCACCCATTTGTCTACCCAACCCAGTTTGCGTCTCTCCAAACAGCTCCCCCATCTCTTCTCCGGCGCCAAGTCTACACCTCCGACGGCATCGTTGTCCAAGGCGGCGCCCCATCCTCCACTCTCTCGGTCTCTGTCGATCCCAGCGGGACCTCACTCAGCTCCTTCTCCTCTACCTCATCTGCCTCATCTGCCTCCTCTTCTTCAGCCCCGGTCCCTCAGTCCGATACGTCACCTACAGGCACTGCCAGCGCTACAGCGAGCTCGCCTTCCAGCACTGGTGGCTCCAGCACCAAGAGCACGATGGAAGACTTTGCGCGCGTCGCTGTCTTGTTCGTGCTGCAGAATACGACGCAGCTGAGCGCGGCGACAACGGCGAGCGACAACATGGCGTCGTTCTTTCAGGGCGGCTCTCAAGAGGCTGGTGGCAACGTGACGTTGGGGAATGGGTTCAGCGCGAATTTGATGAGTGGGATTCTGGCGTTGCCGAATGGAATCCGGATTGGAGGGAAGCTCTAGAGGAGGCCGTTCCGCTCCGTGGCACGAGGGGACATGTCGCATCTGTCCCGTTCATTTCCGTTCACATACTTTCTTGGCTACCTTTTTCTCTTTTGCCTTCCAAAGGCGCGAAGAGATGGATGTGGAAACCTTCTCCCTGTACATTTTCGTGTACCAACTGCTATCACGTCTTTTCTTGCATTTCTTCTTGATATCCCCTTTGCCTCATACCTAGGCAGTTCTTCACATTACTTACCATTACCGTTATCATTGGGCCGGTGTTTGGAGGCGAAGCAATCTCTCCGGAATCACTATATCTAATGGCGGACACGTGTTCGGAAGATCGATTAAATGCGATTGCATAATGCGTACAGGAGGGGTGCGAAACTTGTTTAGATTTTGTACGAAAAATTTCTCGCGTTTCCATGCTAGGCACGACGGCAGGTTATACGTCGGCGCGACAACTCAGCGTGGTTTTTCATGTGCATAGCGAATAGTAGTAGCCTCTTTTCGATAATGGAAAACATTTTAAAAATCGGCCTTGAGTAGAACGCCTGATCGAGAAGGCATACAATTAGTAGGCAATGATGGTGAGGTGTTGTTGATTTTGATGTGATCATCCCTTATGAGAGTCCTGGAGTTGGCTACTGTTAAGTGCGACCTGTAGACGGACGGAGTAGAAGAGATCTTCAGAATTTTGATTGTGTTGATCAGGGGTTTTAGGAAGTCGTAGCCTGCGACCGTGGTGAAAGCTGAGGCCTCAGCTAACAACTGCATAATCTGCATCAAAAATGCTGGCCGAAAGCATGGCAGGCTGCAGCGCGGCGCCATTATTCTTGGCTGATCGCTTCTAGCTAAGGATATCTATGACTATATATTGCAATCTATGCATTTTCGTTGAATGATCGGTCAAGATACATCGGATATGGTGTATCGGCTAGCATCGTCCGCTTTCAAGTCATTGTTGCCGGACAGAGCCGGGTTCGACTCCCGGTATCCGAAATTCTTAATTATAATCTTTTTTTCTTTTTCTTTTTTTTAGTTTTTGGAAGCTTTCTCCCACCGTCGCTGAACGCAGTGTCATTAGCGAGACTCTACAATTACTGCAATTATTACAATCAGTTGAAGGCTGTGCGAAGCTATATTTGATGGAGTTCTCTGTAGACAATCTTGCAACGTCGCCACTTGCTCTACAGGACTTCCAGCAACTGAACAACAAAAAGCACGACTGATATAGACGGCTTCGCTTCGCATGAAAATTGGGGGGTTCCCACAAGTAGGTAAAGATCATATATTTCTTGTACGCAGACGAAGCCCAACCATCTACAATAGCTTTAAGAATTCCTATCGCAAGTTGCTCCGCCGGTCCGGTATGTTATGAAAGAGACTCTTTTCAGAGGTTGGGACTTCCGTTTCTCTCATCAAACCCATGTTTCCTTCGAAACATTTGTATCCTTACCCGTAGCCTCCACTCCCATGAAAGCCACCTTACCTAAGAGACCCACGTCCACTAAACCCTGATCTTTACTCTCAAATGAACAAGCTCTCTTGTCCCTGTTCCCAGTGCAGATCTTCGCTGTCTGTTCAGCAAAGCGAATGTATTATAGTTCTATACAAATTTCCTACACACCTCACCGCTCAAGTCTCGTTACATCTCTATTATATACCTCCGCTGATAGCTGTCAATCATGCTTTCCTTGATAAGTTTCCTCATCTCTCTTACCCTCGTCCCTGCAGCCGTGACTGCTTGGAAAGCCTAGTGCAGTACTAAATGGTAGCTTTTCTTCGTTCGGCCCCATGGGCGTAAGGACGACAGGCGCGACAAACATGGCCGAACTGGACGTAGAATAATGCTTGTGCCCGCTGGGGTACCAAGAGCAGCATGGTGAACCTGGCATTTTCAAGGGTACGGATCAGTGAAAATGACTGATCACTGTTACCCGTTTGCGATTGCATGGAATTCGAAAACAAGGCCGGCACAAGCTTTGGACCACATGGATAACAGAGAGCCCAGAACAATACCAGGTACTACGTGACTGATATTGCTATCGATCTACTCTATGTGGAATTCAAACCGATAGGGTTTTCCAAAAATATGGATCAAGATTCAATTACTGACCTACTCTGGTTTTCCAAGAAGACAGGATGCTCTCTAAACCACCAGAGGAGCAGAACTAGTAGTGGCCGCTGTTACGTTATTCCACAAATTTCTCTTGCTTGGCTGTATCATTCTCATTATTGAACGCATAGACACAAGCACCATACTCAAAAGGACCTCAAATTGTAGTTCTCGTGCCGCTGGATGTAGTCTTGAGGATTATTTTGTTGCCATCGTTACAGACCAGCAGATGAAACAGTGACCACAATATGGAAGTTCAACGATTGTTGCTCGATATCTCGTATGCTTACTAGTTCGGTTGACTTCAGTTCCCGCGCTAACAGTGTGTATCTTGTGTCTTAATGAGTCATTGCGATTGTCTAAAGCAATGTATCATCCCCTTATGCCAGCTGCAAGTACGCTGCGCGATGAGTTGGAAAGACCAAACAGATACGGATGATCTCCGCATCCGTTTGTACATAGCAAACAGCATGTGTCGGTGATTAGCACCCACAGCTAGGGTAGAGTAGGTGTATAAAGATCCTCGCCTCCGTAGCTAAGTCTACGCGCCTTCATCACCGACTATACAACTTCAGCCAGCCAGAGAGAGTTCAGCAGGAGGCTCCTCTGAATAAGGCTCCTCCCAATCTGCCTGAGTACACAACAATTCCACCTTTAGTCTCGAGCTCTCAAGCATCAGAGCCATCCATTCTCAATTTCTGACCACACGAACGTATGCCAAGTACCCAGTTTATCCAGAATCTAGGCTAAGCACAACAAGTTCACTGACACTCACAGAATTAATTCGACGTTAGGCATTGCTCGACATGGCTGCTCCTTCATCGGCTTCAGCTATCATTTCCACTGTGTTGGAACTTGAGGCTTTCCTTCGCTCATTGCCCTCGTCTAAAACAATCTATCTGGACCTTGAAGGAGAAAGCCTCAGCCGGCACGGGACTCTTTCTCTCATTACTCTTCTCATTCATCCACAAGAGGAAGTGCGAGTGATCGACGTCTTAGCTCTTGGAGCATCGACATTCACAGTAGCATCAAATGACGGCACTACTTTGAAGTCGATTCTGGAAGCTCCGGATATACCTAAGTATGTTTGGGACGTACGAAACGACGCAGATGCGCTGTGGGCGCATTACAACGTTGGTCTTGCGGGTGTTACGGATCTTCAGCTTCTCGAGAATGTGTCTCGCGCTGGTGACAAGACCTATGTCCGTGGGCTTGATACGTGTGTCAAATATGACCTGGTGCTTGGGTGGCTCGAGAAGCGTGATTGGCTTCGGACGAAAGAGGAGCTCAGGAGCCTCATGCCTACCGGCATCTTTAGTCATCGGCCGATGGACACCAAGACTCTCCAATATTGCGTTAACGACGTTGTTCACCTTCCGAAACTGCATGCTGTCTATTCGAACCGTGCTGGCAATGATGGACTGCGTATGGTGATTGAGGAAAGCGAGCGCCGCGTGACTGAGGCCCGCTCTCCGGAGTATGATCCACAATCGCCATCGAAGAAGTTTGGGCCCTGGGCTTCGAGAGCATAATAGAGCGGAGAAAGCGGAGAAGAGCGCCTTCAACATTGGATGTCAGGTTTGAAAAGTTGGTACAACAGAGAGAAGAAGACCTCGCTTAAGACATGTTCAGATACGACGACGTGGACTATCAGGTTTCTGATGACACTGAAGACTGGAACATGTATGCTCATGACGGAGCCATCGATTGTTAAGCATTCTATCGTTGTTAGAATAAGTTCTGACTTAATGACTGACAGAATCATGACTTTGATAGCTGCGACTCAAGGTGAAGGTTCACAACGGTAAAATCGAAACAGGTCCTATGCACAGACAATTTGAAATTACTAAAGTTTATCCGGTCAGAAAATGATATGGTCCGGATACATTACATTTGACCAGGTTGTCAGCGTCACTTCCTAAGAATAGGTCAAACCCACCAATGCCCATTGAAACTTGAAGGAATGTTTCATTTCCACCCCAAATTAAGACCCATCGCCATGTTCCAAAAGCCTGACTATGCAGCTGCAGTGAAAGTTTCTAATTCGCCAACGTCGATAGTCATGTTTGAAAGAAGTCGAGCATTGAGAGATCATACCGAACCTGAGCCACACCAGACTCATCAATGAGCAAGCACAAATAGGCCAGAATCATTGCATGCTCGAATCGCTAGCACCGCTATTTGTCGGATCTAGCGACCAACCATTCCCCGACGTGTTCGTGCCAGAGAGTAGGAACGTCTGCTGACTCTCCTTACTCTTCTTAGTATTTTCTTCTTCACTCCTCGAGCCAATCAATCCCTTCTCACTATGCGACAAACTATCGTGACGCGGCGTAATGGCATCCCCTTGTGTTGTTACACCAAACGCTCTCCCAAACGTTCCCCAAATCCGATCCATCGCCGAGATCTTGACGGGTTTGGCAGCAGAGGAGATTTCACGGGGTTTCGTAGGCGGTGCACTCGGAGGCGGTGAAATTTCGTTTGACGTTCGTTTACGATACCAAAAGATGTCACGCAACGTAATACGTTTGCGCATGGCGATGAAGTCGCCGTTAGGCGGATTCTGACCCCTTGTAGGTAGGATGGTTCGGTGCCTCATTACGTAGGCTATGAGTTGGCGGAGCACGGGACAGGAGGCAAAGAACATGCCCATATTGACTTCGATGCAGGACAGGATGCCTGAGATGCATTGTTTGACTGAAGCGCAAGTAAGCACATGCCTCTCACAAAGGTCAAGATGCAAGGTATTGATTTTACAACAACCCTGTCCAACTCTTCCGAGTACTGAAGTTGGCGGATTTGCCAGTCAAAGCCATTCGTTGGATGTGCCCCTGGGAGGAGTAGGGATAAAGTGATAGTTCGGAAAACTCTCCACCATCTTTATGGGTGTGAATTGACTCTCAGGGGCCGAACACAAGTTTGATCTTGATCGGAGAGGGATAGGAACATCGAGAGAAAGCAAAGATGTATTGATTGCTGATATGCAAAGCAACAAAATAGGGACTACGCGGAAAGAGGGCTTACAGGGCAAATCAGGGCCAAAGGTGGTTTTGTTGGTTGTAGCAGCTCTACTGACGCTGAGTCCTGCTGTGAAAAGTCCCAGAAAGAAGACTGTATCGAGGATTATTTTCGTTTGTCTTTTCATTTGTAGATCCCAGAGCAAGAACGCGGGGATTAGAGCAGTAGTGATGTCGATAACGCAAGCAAGGACTGAGTCTAGGATCAATATCTTCGGGGAATAACAGCATAGAAGGGGCCAATGACCTACTTCCGTTCAATTGTTGAGAGGCCAAGAGTAGCGTTTCCGACTTGCAATGACTCCCCGGAACTTCCGCGTAGGAGGCACGGAAAGGCGTACACCTGATGCCAAAGGATACGCAGGCAATCAGAGTGATAGCAAAGTTCAAGAAGAAGGTAAAATAGATAGTACGGCGTTCCCAGATCTTAGTGTATGGCAGCAACCGAAGCGTAAATAGCATTATCGAGGCACGGACGAAAAAATAAGTGATAAACGCTCGGAGCCATCCTATGATGGTACTATAACAGAGACGCTTATCAGTATACTGCAGTCAATAAAGGCCTTGCAGGGCTTGCTGTAGATTTCAGGAGCGTGATGCGTTTGGATGAGGATAACGCACTCTCTTGTAATGAGCTCATAGTCCTCAGGGCTCAGACGACTGGCATGGCGTCCTAAACCATGCTCGACATCATAGACATCGAAAACTGCACTAACGATAGTGGAGAGCTATATCGCAGTTAGTGAGATTTTCACAAGAGCTAATGGCTTTTGGAAACTCACAATTGGTACAAACATGGCGAAGTCATCAGAGCCAAACGACCGAGTAAGAAAGTAGCGTGTATACAGACGTAATGTAACACCAGA